GGGGTGGGGTGGAGATAAATTGGATGAATATAAAATTAAACCTACTGTAAATACTAAGTTAACTGCCACAGGTACAAAGTTTCTAAGTTTGGTCATTTCTTTGTAATAATTTTGATCTCATAACTACTATGGCGTTAAAGTAAGCACTCATTTCCTAATTAGGAGACAAAATCAAAGTGCTAACTATGTAGCAAGTTGCAATTAAATGACAATGAAATCTATAAACTCTAAAAAAATCTACAACCTTGTATCGTTTCATGCAGTCCTTCTTTGTTCTGCCAGGAACTGCTTCTGCAATTTTTTCCCATCGTTCAGGTGTATTTACTGGGTACGTTTTCAAAGCTTGTTCCAAAAGCTTCTGTTCTTCTGTTGTCCAGGGGGTGAAGTCCATGCATGGACCTGTTAGGAAAAAATCTTACTTGAAAAGTCTGACTGATTGATAGAAAACTGTCTTAGAACCACTTTCCCAGACAAGTTAAGTGCCCACTCTAATATGTAATGTATTTTGAAAGCTTTGAGAGACAACATGTTTATATATATAAATTGTGTCAGTGGAAGAAAAAATTCTTTCACATTCCAGAAAAATTAACTCTAACCCCATAGCCATCTCAAGAACCTTTTAAACCTGTTTAAAAGAAAGTAATAGAAAACACTTGCTTCATGATGCTGATTAACCTAATACTATAATCACCAGATTAAAAAAAATTTATACTATAGTTGGACTGTTGAGCTCAAAAACACAATTATAAGTCATTTAGAAGCTGGGCTTGGTGGTGCACTTCTGTAGTCCCAAGCATGCAGGAAGCTGAGGTAGCAGGGTCACTTAAGTCCACGATTCTGAGACTACCTAGTGCAACACAGTGACCCGGTCTCAAAAAGCAAAAGTCATTTAAGATTTCTGATTATTTGTTACAGGATATGGAAACGAGCTGCCTCACAGTTATAAAACCTTTTGCTAGGTAGGCCCCTGAAAAGCATCTCTATGTGATATTGGAAGAAATAAGCTTATAAAAAAATTAAGCCAAATGCTCAAGGTTTGAGTATATTTTATAATCTGAGATTAGAGTCAGTCTCTGACTACTGTTTGAGATTACATTCAGTGAGACTGAAACCCTGGACCGTCCTTTATTGGTCTAAAGCTCTCAGTATGCAGTGGCTCCTATCTGTAACCCCAGCTCTACAGGAAGTGTAGGAGGACTGTTGCCAGGCCAGCCATGACAAAAAAAAACATGAGACCCTATTAGAAAATTAACCTAAAGCAAAAAGGGCTAGAGGTGTAGATAGAGCACCTGCCTAGCAAGTACAAGGCTCTGAGTTCAATCTCACTACTGTCTCCCCCAAAGATGGAAGTGAGATGCAATTATTTTGTTTTCCAATTATTCATAATACCAAAATAAAGTGAAAATTCCTATGAAAAATAACTACTCAAGCTGGCAGAGTGCAAATGGAAGAGCAATAAAAGCCCTAAGTTCAAGTTCAAGCGAGCCTAAGTACCACCAAAAAACCCAAAAAAACCTACTTAAAAAATAGTGCCAGGGTTGTGGATGTAGCTCAGTGGCATGCGACTGGGGGGGGTAGGGAGGGGGGGTCATTCTTCAGCACTGGAAAAACACCACTGTCACACCAAACACAAAGGTGTCAGCTTGTTTAATGGTTGAATTGAATGAGAAGCCTTCCATTATACAAGAGGTATAGGAAGTTACACCCAGATTTCACTCTTGCCCTCACAGGAGACTGAATGTGGGCACAAATATCAAGATCTGTCTCCAAAATGGAAAGAAGTCCCATAAGAAAGGGCTGAGATTAGTGTGCTAATATCTGAACATCATTATTATTTTGTGGAGGAGATAAAGGAACAGAAGAATGTGCCCTATCCTAGGTGTCCTAAAATTTCCACTTTCTTACCTTTATTAAAAGCCAAAATAATGCTTAGCTTAAACAAGTCATCCCAGATTTTAAGCCCAGAATTATATCCCTTACTCTAACATTATAAGCCTCTTTATTTTCAAGCTAACATTTTGGAATAATAAATCAGACTAATAATACAGGTAAAATGAAATGTTAGAAGACGGAGACAGCTTACATAGAATGAAGTCTGTTAGCTTATCAAAAAAATACTTGTAACTATGATCTGGTAAGCACATTTAAGATTAAGGAAAGGACTGGTGGACACAAGTGCATTTTCACAAAGCAAACTTTTCCAAACATTTTGTCATAATTTTATAACAACTTTATCACATCCCAATAAACACACTACTCACTGATCATTTCTACTCACGACTCTATTAATAAATTGATGTGATGACTCAATTATGGAACCTGATTTGTTTTTGAAAACACTGGTGCAGAGTAGTTAAACTAGCTGGAATTCCCAAGACTGACAGCACCCTAACAGTTTTTAACCTTTTATTTTGAAATACTTTCAGGAGAGTAAAACAATCCCTATATATACTCTACCTACATTGCTCAAATGTGAACATTTTATAGCATTTACTTTTTCTCTATATATAGACATACCATTTGACAGTAAGTTGCAGACACAAGATACCTCTTCTAAATAATGCAGTAAGGTTTTTCTTAAAAACAAGGACATTTTCAGAGCTGGAGGTGTTGTTCAAGTGGTAAAACACCTGCTTAGCAAGCAGGAGGCCCTGAGCTCAAACCCCCCAAAAAAAGGCAAAAAAAAAAAAAAGGGTGGTGGGGGGGACACCGACGACCTTGTCTTACATAATTATAGTACATCTTTTAAAATTAGAAAATTAACCTTAATGATAATTTAACTGTCTTTATAGTACCCTCCAATAGTGACACAGTATCTGTTGAACAAGCACAGCTCCTCCTCTAATGGAATCTGAATAGAAAAATTACAGTTCTGGAGTAATGGTTAGTTGAAGTAAATCTGTGACTTTCCTGAATGTTACTGCTTTAGGCCTTCCAGTAGTCTAACCTTTTTATTTTCCAATTATTCTGAACTTTGATCCTAGGTATCGTATACCTTCAAGTAAATTGGAATCATGAGTGAGTAGCATTTTCTACTTCTAGAAACAAAAACCACAAAAATTTACCTTCAAATCGTTCTGATGGTGTTGCGTTGTCTGATTGAGGTACCACTCCATGTTCTTTTTTAAATTTATCAAAAGCTTTTCTGTTTACATCATCTTTTTGATGAGGGTCTGAGAAATGAAAAAAAAAATGTTAAGATTAGTGGATCATCTCATTTAATCTTTTATGAAATTTCATAAAATAGTTGAAAATTTGTATCTAAGGTTAACAATTTCTTAAAACTAACTCACCAAGTTTCTGGAGACTCTTTGCTTTGCTAATAACATCTTTGGCAGTTCTTTTGACGCCAGAAGAAGAATGTATGTTCATGTAATTAGCAATAACTTCCCATCTACAGCAACCAATATAAAAGTTTAATACAAAGGAAAAACAAGAAACAACAAAAATCATTACACTTTTACTACAGAAGGGCTAGTTCTATAGAACTATAGAATGAGCTTTCAATTGGTATAGTTATGCTATTAATCTACATTACTACTGCTTGGACCATAGTTCATGTTTTTCATATGTTTAAATAAACTATAACCTTGGTTTTAAGTTTGAATAAAACCTGATAAATTCTACATACAGATGAACTGGAATAAGACCACACATTTGTATATACTGCCAATTTAACACATACTTCTTAAGAAGAGATCATTTTGAAACCACAGCCTTACTTTCCTCATCTATAGAATGAGGGAGGCTGGATCACAGTCTAAAGATTTTTTGAGATCTAAACCTAGACTTTGAAGTAAGCTCTGGTTTGAGGTAGAAAGCGTAAACAAAGAACTAGACTATGAAAGGGACACAAAACCTAATCTCTAGCACAAACCATGATGGAATAAGCCACTATTAATTGTCAAGACTTGTCTCATCATCTTCAGTTTCATGAGAAATTGATGAAGCATCTTGCTATGGGTATGTATTGCTGTAATGGATAAGACTAGCAGGTTCAGAATGCACTTTGCTTTTCACTGTGCTGCTAAGGCACAGAATTTAATAGAAAGCAATCTTTTTAGACTGAATCTTATCTCCACAAGGTTCTGCTTTAACCAATGCTGTCTACATTATCTTGAGGCTCCAGTGGGTGTTGAAAAGGTTCGTGAAAACTAGTACCTTGAATTCGTTCCAGCAGGGAAGAGATTCACAGCTTTAATTAGTAATTGCAGATCATCTTCTGACCAATTTTTACTGCCACTTCCACTTCCGCCAGTTGACTTTTCTGCATTCTTAGATGCTTGTCGCATCCGAGCCTCAGCTTCCTCTTTCTCTTTTCTAATTTGCTCATTTATTTCTTCTATCTACAGAAATATCACAGGTAGGTCGGGGCCTTAGAGCATCTTGGTACTCTAACATTCCCTTTCTGGCTAGGGATTTATGGGTCTCAGCTCTCAATGTCACCCTCACGCAATATTCTTCTCCCAGGCAAATTTGCAAACTTGCATCAGCTTTTCCTCTACCTTACAAGCTGCACAGGTCTGCTTGAGGAACCAAGAGCCAGCCACAGCTTGGCTTGCCCAGTACTCACATCATGAGGTTTTTATAACACTTTGACATTAGTTGGTAAGTTGATGGTCTCTGGGTTATTTATACACAAGGCTACCCCATACACAAGTAACGGATAATCTCATTTATTCTTTACAAAAAGGTAAAGGTACAGGAAAATGACTTCTGTTTTATCTTGAAGTTCTACCCTCTACATTGTTCTTTCGAGTCTAACTTCAAATCTGTAAAAGAAAACTTTTATATGACTTCGATACTTCTGTCAACTGTTGTCTTTGACTCATTTCGCCTCTGCAAGTCTTTAGAACCAGTCCTCAATTCCTACAATTCTAAGTTTGGAAGGTTTTTCCTGATTCCCATCTCTCATAGTCCAGATCCTTATAATGAGATTATTATTACTGCTTACTTTATCTGATGCATCCTGCCTACCAATGCCAGATAATTAGCACAATACTGAAGTTCCTGCTAAAATATCTTGCAGTAATGGAAAGTGGTCATGAAACCACTTTTAAGTATTAAAAACCTACTTAATGTGGCTCTATTATTCCTAAGCAACTTAATTTCCTAGTATAATTTTCTGTCTATAACTATTTTATAGTTCATGCTGTTTCTTGACCTTCATTTTAACAATATTCTTTCCCCAAAGACTTGTTCAAACCTTTCGCTGAGCCTTTCCTGAGCCTTCAGATATGACACGACTCCTATCTATTGATAGCATTTACTGTGGGCCCTCCATCTTTTGGTCCTCAAGCTTCCCCCCCCCCCCATAGCAGCAATAGCATTAGGCATTAAGCATGTAGGATATATATACATATATGTTCTATTCCTGCCTGATTCTTCATCTACAAAATAAAAGGTATGTAGACTAGATACAACAAAGACCTCTCTTTTGGTTCTAAAGGTTGTCCTATGAATATATTCAGGAAATAACCAAAACAATTACTTGTTTAAACAATGATTTTGTAAAAATAAGATTAATGTGCTAGATACCACAAATTAAACATTATACATTTATTAAACCCAATTTAAACCAGTAGCACTTAATATAAACAAAACAGTGGGAGAAACAAAGAAAATTCAATCTTTGGACTTAGTAACCTAAATATTAGGTGGAGAAAGAAAGGTAAAATAATTAAATGCCAAATTTAAGTAGAAATGTGTTGTTTTATTACCTGTTTTTCCAGAGCAGCCTTTCCTACTTCTTTTGTAGATGATGTGAGCGTTTCATTTAAGCACTGTAAGCTAACAAAAAAAAGGGATGAGGGCTTAGGGTGTACCTCAATGGTAGAGTACTTTTCTAGCATGCACGAAGTCCTGGGCTGGATTCCCAAGCATCACAAGAAGAGGAAAACATCAAAAAACAGCGGTGGAGGGCTGGGGGAGGAGCACACACAGGAAACTTTGTACTGAACCCAAGAGAAAATTTCAATAGCAATTCCACAGACACACCTTGCTAGCTCAAGCCGATCACAAAGTTTTTCTACTTCTTCCATCATTTTAACTCGGTCTGCCTCATTGTCTGAAAAGTGATTCCAGGTCTAGAAGCACAAATACAAACACAGTCACCTTGTATCAATTGACACAGAAATTCGTCCAAATAAAGCAACACAATTACAAAGCATGAACTTCTCAAAAGATTCCTGATGTGAATGTACATCATGTCCTTGTTCTCATCACCAGGTGTATTCCCAGGATTCTCCCTGATGAGCTAGCAAAAAGCATTATACCAAGTGTCGTCAGGGGAGCAAAACAAAGAAAAGATGGTGCAAAATACCTCTGGATGTTATAAAGAATGGTTCCCCGGGAAGCACTTAAGGATCAAGAAATTCTGTATGAGGACACAAATTAAAACCCCCTTTTCAGCTTGCCTGTCCTATCTAGTATGTGCTAAATATGAAAATCTATCAGAAATTTTAAATGTGAAATTAAGCGAAGGGATTATAATACAGTATGCCATGGAACAGGAGGCATTGGTGAAAATTCTGATTACCTAAACATCATGCTCAGTACGGAGTAGCATATGATGTAAGTGGCTGTACAAGGTAACTGGAAAATTCTTTCTGTTCTTACTGTTGCTGACACGTCTCCCATTTCTCTTTTCTCTTTGCTTCCCAATCTATGTAATTCGGCTCTCACTAAAGTCCCAAAAATGCTTTTTTTTAAGTGCTGACACTTTCCCAGGCTTCTAAAAGCACTATGATTTTCTTCCCACATGTTTGGTCACTCCACTCCTCCAGCTTCTTTTCCTTTAGCAGTGCCAGTGTTTGCTAAGGTCCCATAATTCATCCTCCACCCTCTTAAAACTTTTGTCGAGGGTTATCTCATTTACTTGCATGGTTTCTAGTGCCATCAACATGTAGATAAGGGGACTAGCAGTGTGGCTCAAGAAGTGCCTGCCTAGCAAGCTCAAGGCCCTGAATTCAAACTCCAGGAACCCCCCCCAAAATAAATAAAATTAAAAAAAAATGTGGATGAATCTGTGATAATCCTGCTCTTGAACTCTAGACTTGTACACCCAGAACCGTTAACATTTGAGTATCTCAACAGGTTTAACATGCCCTAAATTAGACTCATCATTTCCCTTAGCCTTCTCCTTTTCTGTTTTCCTCTTTCAAAGTCTGCTGATGGGACCTGTTAAGTCCAACTGTGTTATTAATTGAAGATTTAGTGTAGCACATATTAAGACTATACATACTAGTGTTTAGTGCTCTCAGAAAAGTGGCATGAAAGACACCACCGTTTCATACATGGTAATAAGCATTTACATACTTGCTGGATTTAACTAAAATGGTATAGCACACAATATTCTCGGGGCAATCTCTATTATAGGTTGAAATTTCATAAATTTATTATTCATTGTTGTATAATAAGGAATACTTTTCTCTGACTTACCAGTTTAAGATATAAAATCATCTCTTTGGCAAAATTTTATTTTAAAACTTTTGGGGATTTTTGGTCAATACTTTAAGTGAAAATTGTAACAGCATGAAAACTATCAGTACTCATCCAAACAATATCCTTTTGCTTAAATAAAAACAAAAGCTGAATTTCTAAGAGAACCTTTACTAAGATAAAAATTAAATGATCTGGTTTCTCCAACAACTAAATAGCACTGGGAGAGAGAGAAGTAGTGGTAGGCAGGAAGCTTATTACAAAATTAAAGAGGGCTATAAAAGACTAACCAGAAGTCACAACACCTGAAGATTTGTACTGACTTTATTTGAATTCTAACCAGGTTGAATCAGCTATAAAAAGAGACTGAGATAATCAGGATACCTGAATATGTACTGGGTTTCAGAATACTAAACTTTTCGTTTGATAATGGTATGATAATTTTAAAAATTACCAGGGTTACTCACTGAAATATGTACACATGAAATTTAGAAAAAGTTAATTTGAAAACAAATATTTCAAGATAAAATGTGTGTATCTATTATATTTGCAGAGCATAAGAGGAAATCTTTCAAAGCTTAATCAGGAATCTGGTTTACTTTTGTCTAGTGTTTGTTCAGTGTGACATACCTTGCAAGAGTTTCGAAGTTTTTGCCTTTCCTTTTTAATGGCCTTTTTCTGGATATCTTTTTCCTTCTTTGCCAATAACGCTTGCTGTCTAACTTCCTCTTCTTCTTTCTCCTTAGCCAACCGAGCAGCTTCTAATTCAGCTTGCCTTTGCTTTAAAAATGGTGACAAAGCCACTTTAATATGAAAATTAAGACTTCTAAATGCTCTAAAATCTTATTAAAATGTAATTTTTAAATAAACTGAATTAGAAAATAAGTGACACGGCAACTTATTGAAGACCAAAGGCTGAACTGGGGAAGACAGCTGCTAAAGTTCAACAAATATTTATTAGAAAATGGAAAACATACCAGGTAAAGGAGACTTACACCTGTAATCCTACTCAGGAGGCAGAGATCAGGAAGATCAAGGTTAAAGGCCAGTCCAGGCAACAAAGGGAGACTATCTCAAAAATACCCAACAACAAAAAAAAATCTGGTGGAGTGGCTCAAGTGGTAAAGCACCCGTCTAGCAAGCATGAGGTCTCTGAGTTCAAATCCCAGTACCGCCAAAAAAAAAAAAAAAAAAAGAAAATACAAAACACATATTAGAAATAAGTATAGTACTAAATTCATTTACGTGGCATCACATTTTGCTCAGAAAGAATGTGCTGGTAAGGAAGATCTATCAATTGCATCAGTGTCTTCAGATTCACTTATGGTAGTAACCGAAAATTCTCTGCTTCCAGATTTAAAAAACAAAACAGATCTGAAGATTAAAAACATTTACAGTCCAACTTCATGAAATGTCATCTTACTTTTTCTTTAGCTTCTTGCTCCTTCCGTTTTGCTTCTGCTTTTGCTTTCTTTTCTGCTTCTTTCTTGGCCTTTTCTTCTTCCTTAAATTTTTTTATCCTAGGATCACAGCTATATGCATTGTCTATATCAAAAAAGAAAAAAAAGTTAATCTTCTGAATTTCTAACATTTAAAGAACTTTTAAAAACAGTACTTATGCTTACCAACTAATGTTCTTATTCTGTTCATTTCTTCTTTTTTTCTTTGTGCCCTTGTAGCTCTGTTCTGTTTTTCAATCCATTTCCTTTCATCACGACTGTAAGACAAAAAATAATGGAAACAAACTAATGCTTACAAATGGTATAAGTGGAAAATCTAGTATTTTATAAATTATATGCAAATAATGTCTTAGAAGGTCAAATACTATTCATTATATTAACATTAAAGGGTGATTCCATTTAGTATTAATTTTAATTAGTATTTTTGGGTATTTTTATCAAAAGAATTTCCCAACACACTTGGAGAAACTAACATAAGACCTAGATTAAGCAACCAAGAGAAGAATAATTTGATGTACTGACTTATATTGACAGTTATATTCCTTGGCAACTTAAGCATATCTTAATCAATTACTGATGTAGCTCATTGTAGCTTAACTTGTGAGAAGAGATTTCAAAATACTACATAAAAATATTTATTACAGCCAAGCACAGTGCTGCATACCTATAATCCTAGTTCTTGGGAGGCTGAAGTAGGAGGATTGAGAAATCAAGGCTTATGCTACATAGCGAGAGCCCTGCCTCAAAAACTTAAAAAAAAAAAAAAAAAAAAAGAA